ACCCTTTCCCTTAGTTTTCATTATAGTCACTGAATCTTTTTTGACAAGCTGAGCACCTTGTCATCCAGTAATGTCACAAGCAGGTCAGAAGCCCCCATTCCTGTCCTGCATGCAAAACCCAGAGCTGTATTCAAGGATAGTTTACAGCTTCCTCACCAGTGGCTGTGTCTTCTGATTTTTATTTACTGCTCCAAGGCAAATGCCACAGCCTTCTTGACTGCCTCTGATAGCCTTTCCTTGTCTCTTACCCACAGGATCAAGTGGGCTGCTAATCACTGGTCTACTGCTAACTTCATGGGACGCCCTGAGGATCCTCTGCTATTGTGACTTGCATCGCTCTTCCCCTTGCCCTTCCCGACATGAAGCTGGGTGCAGGCACAAGGTCGTGGACAGGCTGTGCACCAGCGTGGCTGCTCTGCTCACACTTGACTCAGCACAGGTGTTGCACCATATGCCACAAGGGTCTATGAATCCTTAGGTAGTCTCATCCCTGAGTATTACCTGCATTGACCTGAGCATGGAACCCAGCCTGTGATTGTCACAGGTCATCTCTACTAGGGGGTGGAACTATGGATAAAGACAAATCAAGTGCTTCTTTAACCTGTGTTTATTTTAATGACCCATTTACTTAAAGCAAGAACAACCACACCACACTGGCCTGCTGTTTTGCTACCAGTTCAAGCCTTTCCCCAGAGGCTGTTCAGGAACTACCTTCTTCGAAGGTTAACCGCTGTACAGCTGCTCTTTTTTGGTTTATTGTTCTAGCCATTCATTTGGGCCTATCCCAAAGTTATTTGTTTCTCTCAAGCTGAAGACATACTCTACTGAAAGAGGCTTCTGTGAGTCACAAACAAGATAGATAGAAAGCTATTAAATGCCCAGCCCGAAGAGAGTTCAGCCCCAAGACCTTTTCCTAGCCTGACCCACAACCAGGGGACTGCCTTGCTTTATGGCCAGCGGTACTCTGCTTGCCTTCTCCTAATGAAGCCTCTGCCAGGGGCTCATTTCCACCAAGAATTTTAGTCCGCCTAAGATTTCCTACTCGTGTGTTCCACGAGAAAACCCTTAAGCAACAGTGTCAGGATGCTGGGCACCTCCTGGGCCCACGCTGACTTTCCAGAGCAGAGCCAGGCTTCCTTTCCTGGGCTGATATTTTTGCCCCTCAAAGATTCATCTCTGCTTGCTAGACACCTTTGGGCTGTTTTCTTAACAGGCTCTGTGAGAGTCTTCTGCCGTTTACATTTGGTCTCATTTTAAATCCCTTCTGAATCTTTCTTACTCCTGCAAGCACTCTGATAATTTTTTCCCTTGTGATTTTTCATAAACAAATGTTTACAATTGCTCTCTTTAGAAACAAAATCATCCACCTGACATCTCTTCTGTCCTTTTGAACAATATTTAGAGCTCCTACAGGGTGTTTCATTAGAGGAAAAAACCTAAAACAAACCCTAAAACAAACGTGAGAGTCATATATTACAGAAAAGCAGCCGGGACCCTGATTCCTTCAGTGTCAGGAATAGCCACTTGGTTTTGTGTTTTGTCTCTCCTGATGTTTCTTTCACACATGAAAATCATCCTCTTCCCTTAGTTGAGCAGCACAGAGTGTGCCAAGATACAAAGCATCAAGATACTGTTCTTATTCTCCAGCTGTTTCTGGTAATTTAAATACTTTCCCATCTCTGCAAAACCTCAGAAACTTTCAGCCTGGGTGATTTGCATAGGGGAGGAGAAGGAATGAAGGGGAGAGGACGAGTGTCTTTCTGCTGCCTGAATTTGGAAGGTGGCTCCCTTCAGGCTGGTTCCTACAAGGTGCAGGCTGGTTCATGTAACCCTGCTAAAGATTAGTATAAACTTCATGCCTGGTTTACATCATGTGAGTGCAACCTCCTCAAGTGCACAGTGCAGGAACCTCAGAGAGCAGAGCTTTGACACCATAAATGCAGTGGCATCAGGGTGGGATACAAGTGGTTACCCTGAAAAGAAACCTGCTGTCTCCAGGAGGGTTGAGCTACCCATTCCTGGGGATCTTCACTGCCACGTGGAACCACAGCAACATGCTCGAGCATACTATAGTATTATTCCCTGAAGTATTTCCTCTAGGATTGATGCTTCAATACCAGAAGACTCAACTCTTTGGAGCTGCTGTGACATTGAAAACACTTCCAGAAACAAGGATGCTCTGTTGCTTGAGGCTGATGGGAATATAAGGTGGAGTTGGCAGCAAAACAGACAAAGATCCAGATTAACTTTCTTTCCCCAATTATTCTACAAGACAAGTCTGTTTCCCCCTTACCAGTTGTTTATCTCAGCCTTCCAGTTACTGCTTTGTGACCTGTAAACCTCTTTGTATGTGACCTGTTGCTATGCAGAAATTAAAGTACTTTTAGCCCAGAAGTTTTCAGGCATACCTGGAAAATACCCAAATGCATTTCCCAAGAAAGACAAGTTGTCCCTTAAGAACATCCTCACTGTTAACTGTGATTAGTTATAGAATTTGCAAGCACAGTGATAAACCCATTCTTTAAATGGGAAATTACATCCCGGTGCCAGATACAGCTGACAGTTACAGAACATTCCAGAAACCATTAAAATAACTGAGAATTTGAAGAGAATTAATTCACCTCCTGTACCTGCTGTGAGATTTCAATCAGCTTTTTTCTAAGGAGATATTTCTTAAAATGCAGGAATTTTTTATTACATCATTTTTCATACCAAATAGCCCTGATTAACAAATAATAATGGCACACAGGTATGTAACAGCCTTCCAAAGTATGGCTCTTAATCCAGCCCTTCAGCTGTGGGGTTATGACTGAATACGCCCGATGCTGTTTCGTTCACATATTATCAAGTAAACATTAATAATACATTTGTGACAAAAGCCTTCCTAATGCTTGCTGGGTATAAAGGTGATTCCCAGTGGCTTGGCCAGAAGAGCATGGTGTGGGGCTTTATCACAGAGCTGTGCATGGGGTGGCAGTCTGCCCAAACCACCACATGGGCAACCAGATTTCCCAATCAGGTTCACACCTTCTCCAAGCCTAAACCCAGAAGCTCCTGGCTGGCTGCAGTCTGTGTGGGGAGCCCTGGGGTCTCCTGCAGGCAAGGCTCCAGGGCTGCACTATGGAAAATATTCTAGTGCAAAGGGCAGAGCCTGGCATTTTCCTTCATATTTGCCTATTCTACTATGGTTTCAGCAGAGAAGATAAGTTTTTCCCCTTCTAAGGGGGAAAGTTAATTGTTTTTTGAGGGGGACAGTTAAAATGGCTTCTCTAGACACACAAGTATGTGCCATATGAGAAAGTCCAGCTCATGCAGGTGATGGATACATGACATTCTTGTTTGACTTGGTGGCCCGTACAAGTGCCAAATAAATTTAAGGTCTAATAACATACGTGTTATTGCAAAGCAATTTGGAATATATGAGTGAAAACAAATCTTGACAATGCCTGTACCTCAGCATGAACTAATCTCAACATAACGGAAAAAGCCTACCCAATTGAATAGAAATGGTAACAAATGTAAATGCTCTTTAGCATCCTGCAGAGCCTAGTAGAAAAAAATATTAGTTCCTAAAAGTCTGAAAGAATGGATTAAATTGTTTTTCAAAGCATGTACTTCTTCACACATTAGGCTTCTCTAGATGCGATCTTAAAAGCTATCTGAAATGACTACAGGACTATAATGGCTGCATTACTAAATCCTATAGGGCTTTTCCCCAAAGGATACCTGCATTACTCTTTTGGCCCTCAGAATCTTATTATTTTAGTATCTTTAAATGAATGGACTGTTCAGACAGACTCTTTGGAGTGAAATACAGTGTACTGGTTCTGCATATTTGAAAAGATTAAAAAAAACCCAAACCCTTAGAAAAACCCATGCATTCTGTAACTTAGTGCAGAAATCTGTCACCTCATAGAAGCTACCCTCTTGATGCTCTTATCTTATAAATGCCCTGAATTAAACCATCTGGCTCTGTGGTCACACCAGAGATCAGAGAGAGAGAAAGGCCGTGTGCCTTTAGCGTCATGTCTAAGGCTTATTTTATGTATACCCTTAAAATGTGCACCCTTTTGGGCACTGTCTTCATGTGAAAGACACAGGGGAGGAGGGATCTGTAGATATAGCTGACCCTGACCAATCTCAGTTGAACCATCTCAGATTTGACACTGAAGGAATTCAGGATGTTAGTCAAAAGCATCTCTGTTGACAAGATATGGAAGAAGGTGGGAAACAGCAATTTGCCTAAGTTGGTACAAGTTCCTCATAGGAGAGATGGAGTCAGAGCTCTGGGCAGCTTTCCCCTTCCTTTGCACAGAACGTGGCTAAAGGAACACCTTGCTGATGAAACTGTAAAATCTATTAAGTGGGATTTCCAGGGCCCTGCCTCAGCTGACAACTAATTTGTTTTGCCTTTGCCTAGCAGGGATTTTCCATGCAGTGGGCTCTTGTTTGCTATGTAAGTCATCCAAGTATTTGTTAGTGTCATTGCCAGAGCCAGATGATGTTTATTCTGCTAACATCCAGTTGGACTCTGGCAGCGTTCATTGAAGTCAGGGCTTTATTTATAGAAGCAGATATACATTGAGATTCATTCTCTTTCCCTTCCTGTAATCCACCTAAACTCATCCAAAATAGAAAGAAACATGCAGACATGCAAGTAGTATACTAATTGGGCCAGATCCATGAATTAGCACAGCACCATAGAAGCCAATGGAAAAAAGGCATTTTAAAGCAGCCGAGGATCTTGTCTGTTATTTCTTCTGGGGAAGGGAAGGGAGGGGTTTAAAAACAGAGATTATAAAGAAAAAAGCAGAAACAACCAAGCAACAAAACATCCCGGCATGTGGCAGAACAGGTCTGTAGTGCAAAATCCCTTCACCAAGATCTACAATTTCAACTACTTGTCTTTTTCCCCTGTGTTCCCAGTTACTGGAGACTGCAAGAATCAAAGTGCAGAGAGCTCTAAGCAAGAAAAAGTAACGAGACTGAAAGCAATTTACCTGCTGAAACTGAGAAGACATTGTCAACGTACGCAGTCTGAGATAAAGCAAAGCAGAAGACAAGCTGCAGGTAAGATCCCCAGACAAGCGGGCTGAGGACCAACATGCTGGCTGTGCCCTGGCAGCTTCCACCTCAGAGGCGCAGGGCTGCTTTGGGGATCTCTGTCTCTACCCTCGCTCCCTCTCTGCCTTGCCTGCTCTCTGCCTCTTCCTTCGCGGTGGGATGCGTGTGTGTCTATGTGTGTACGTCTCCCTCTCTCTCTCTCCCCCCCCCCCCCCCCCCCCTTCCCGTGCCTTTAGGAAGAAAGAATGACAACCATTTCCCATTAAATCTTCTCCTTGCACTAGACACGGTTATATTTAACTCCTGTGCTGGATCAGTTGCCCCTATTGTGGACATTAGCTGCTAAAACTGGGGCATGGGGGATTCTGGTTTTGCTAACAGAAGCAAAAAGGCACTTTGGATAATAATAATAATAATGAACAGGAAAGGGAGAAATTACGAACGGGACTATAAACAGCGGTGCAGGCAACCAGACACCGATGTCGAGATGGATAGATCCCCTGACCGATCATCTTGTACAGGTCACTAATTGCCTTAATGAGAGAGATGAGCCATGACCTAACATCTGTTTGTCACTGGTAGTTACAAGCGTTACATTCATTTACAGAGTGCAGCACAGGCTGGGGGATGCCATGAAGGCTTCACAAACCACAGAAGAGATTATTATTTAGTACTTAAGTGAAAACAACAGTATCATCGCTGATAGTGCCAGACATTGTAGGACGTAAGGATTTACTGACAGGGTGCAACAGGTGGAAGGAACAATACTTGTGTCATGATGGGGTGAGCGAAATGCCATCAGCTCCCAAGGTGGTGATGGTCAACGCTCTATACAGCGGTGCGGGAAGAAAACAAACCTCTGTCACTCTGAAAAGCAGAGTGTTACCTGTACAAAAGCTTGGTGTTTCTGTGCCTCATTTGCAGCTCCCAAGTGCTTTGCAAATAAATTTCTGTCCTGTGAATAACTAGCAGAGGGATCTTCCTTTCTGCCTGGAATCTGACTGTGGTATCCGTGAAAAGCAGAGGTACTCCTTTGCTGTCAAAATGGTCATTGCTCCCTTTCTTCCAGATGGAGATGGTTTTCTTTGCCCACTGTTTATTGCTCCTCCCAAGACAAACACGGAAATCTTTTGGATTAATTACAGAATTGATGGGTTTTATTTTTCATTTGAGTAAGGTACTCATTGACAATGAGCTGTTCCCCTGGGCATTAATTCCTACTGAGTATGCCACTAAAGGGCAAAGTGATGTATTTCCACAACTCTAGTTAAACACTCTTGACTGTTACATATTGCAAACATATTGACAAAATCTTTCTAAATGCAATGGTTTGATAGGAACAATCACATCTGCCTTATATATTTCTGTCCTTATAATATAACCACAATGCTTTCTAAAATCTATTTCCAGTACTGCAACACTTTGGATAACCGAATTTATTTTTTAATCTAATTCACTTTATTCCACTGTCTGTTACTTTTAGTAGTTGGTTATTTTTGGTGAAGACAGTAGTTTGACTTCTTCCTTCTGAGACCAAGATGACCATGGATCAAGTGCCATTAGCATGCCATTTAGGCATGCTGCATCTCAGAGGGAAAGGCATAGCTCCTGCGAAGTTCATCATGACAAACCCTAAGAAAGCCTGTGTAGATGCTGGAAGAAATTGCTCAAAAGTTAGAATGTCAAAATTTTATCAAAAGTTCACCTCTGAAAACATTTGACCGATTCAGCAGTTAGAGCAGCAATTGAGTAACTTCAGCTCCTCCTGAAGTCTTCCTGCAGTCTTTTAGCAACAGAAAATTCGGCAAAAATTTGTAGTGTAAAATATGTTCTATTTGATAAGGAAATTAATTAATCAATCCAATAATACTGAGAAGAACTAAAATCATGCAGTAGGACCCATATCTTTCCCCTCCTCCATCACCTCATTACCAACGTCAGTTCTTGGTTCTTCAGCCTAGACCAGAAACCTAGGGTTTGGAAAAAATGCAACATCTCCCTCAAAGAATGTTGCAAGGAATTCTATCATAAACCACATCCACCCTCTGATCTGCTTTAAAGAAGATAGGAACAAGGAATGTAGCTTTTCCTTGTAAGAAGGAATACTGTATTAGAGGGGGCCAGGAACAATGTAGGAAGCCAGGGCTGCTTCAGATTTTAAATGATGGCTTTGCACATAGACGGCTTTGCAGTCAGTGCTTAGGTAAAATTTTTATCAGCTTTTTTTCAGTGGAGAACCATGACTAAAAATGAGTGTTTTGTCAACATTCTCCTTTCTTTCGACACAGCATCTCCATCACTCTAAAGTCTGAGCCTGTTTGAATTGAACTGGCTTTTAGCCAATGCAAGAAAAAAGCTCCGTAGGCAAACAGTCTGCTGTGGCAAACACCATCATCCACTAAAGACTCAAAAGGAGATGTTTGGATTTATGTTTGAAGAGACCTCTTCATCATGATGTAGTGGTAGTTCAACTCATTGCTTTTTACAGGGACCACCATTAGGTCAACACAAATGAGAGCTCTTACTCATTACAAGGCAGCGAGCCAGGCCACTTTAAGGTGCAAGTGCTGGGTTTTGTTTCCTCTCATTTTAAGGTCCTGGCATTACCAGCTGAAACTGCTGGCAAGGTTGCTAATGGTTTCAGCAGGAGATAAATGAAGTCTGTTGGAAATAAAATGGACAATAGCTGCAGGCTTTTTGCTTTTGACTTAGGTGACAACGCACAAGACTGACACCCAATGCTAGATGACAGGGGTGTACACCTGGTTACACTGCTTGTTTCTGATCACTGTGGCACTGGTGCATGCACAGAGACAGTCCTGAGGAGGGGACGTGTCACGTAGTAGTGCGAGTCTTACATGATGTGAGAAATCTGACAGACATGTGCTTTCCAGGCCCCTGAGCCATCTGTCATCTGTGAACTTGCTCAGTCAAGCAGTGCATTCTTACAGCTATTGCCATGGGATCATAAAGCCAATGGAAAGCTTCTGCTCCCTTCAGATAGCTCTCCAGCAGGTAGCTAAGGTCAGTGCTATGAGATTAGAGGTAAGTCCTTGTTTCTATTATCCAGAGCTGCTGTTGCTGGGTGTAGTGAAAACCCACATTAATATGACTTCACAATGCAACCACTGAAGAAGATGCATAAATATTTGGGAATAAAAATATTTTAAATCTTTGGGGGAATAAATACATAAAAAAATCTTAACATTTTTATACAAATTTATGCCATTGCTAGAAACAGAAGTAATCGATAATTCTTATTCTTGTCTCACCTAGAATTGTGACTCTGATACCAGGAGTAGCATTCACTGAATGAAACTATAACGGCTTTAGCATTATTTCTGTTTCAGGTAACATTAGCTTAAGAAAGAAACACACGAAAGATGTCACACTGCAGTTTCTGAGTCTTATAAGACACCCTAATGGCCTGAGTGAGAACAAGAGGTTTTGAGGACTTAGATTTAAAAAACTTCCACTGTTCTACAGGGAGAACACCAGAACACCAAACGTTATCTGCAGTTTAGTGCTCAAAGGTAAGGACCCCCCCAGTCTTATCACAGCAAATCAACTGCAGTTTGAAAGAATCCTATTTCGAGTAGCAACTAAAAATGCCAAAAGCCAACCAAACCATGATGGAGAAAAAAAGTCCACACATTTTACCTGCTTAAGTAACTGTTGCTTGAGCTTTTCAACTCGGATGGTGTTGTCTGAAGTACAAAGGCAGCTGCTGATGTAAAGAAGACATTAAGTGCGGAATACCAACAAATGACTTCACCATGCTGGTATATTTTAATCTAATTCAGAAGCCCCTGTAGGAGCAGACCCACTAACTGTGTGCAATGAAGTAAATTCAACCACACGATGAAGTTCTGGCTCACTCCACAGCTCCACCCATGCCAGTCACCCAGCCGGATATCAGGCACAGGGCAGGTGGCCAGTTAAAGGCAAGCCAGAGCTAGTAAATCTTCAGATTATGCACTGGATGAACAGGGTGAAACCAGGACATTGTTGTCTAGCATCTTCCAAAAGCAACCCCTTTTTGGAAATCAGCCATTAAATGGATGCTACACACTGCATAACGAATGGTGGGCTTCTGGCCTCCTCTCTATAACCCGTGTTCACAGAAATGCAAAGCTGGCCAGGGAATCCCAATTATTTTTATACCTTTCAGAGTATTTTTACATCTTTCTTTGTTTCCAGAGCTCTCACCCCATTTTTAGAAAGTTCAGCTCAAAACTCTAATTTTGCACTTTTAGACCTATTGCAAAGACTCAGTCCCTCACTTTTTCTCCTCCGATGAGTAATCCCCATGTATCATTTATTTTTCTATTGATGATAATGGAACAAACTACCAAACAGAAAAGTTATGGACATAATTAAAAATAATGGGATAATGCAAAGTGACTTCCATCAAAGCTATCAAAACCCCACTGTGGCCTTGAAATGGTGGAAGACACAACAAAGTAGAACAACTTTAAAACAATAATTCAATCACGGATCTTTATAAGATTACTCTGACTCCCCTTTCCTGTTTCAGTTGCATTCTTGACCCTGCCTTTCAAACTGCAAATCACTGTGGGACTGTATAGAATTCTGCATAATGGCAGCGCTACCTTTCACAGCTGAAATATGTCCGTATACATAATATGGTAGACATGCAGAACGCCTCTGCTTTCCTACAGTGCACGCACGTGCTGTAAAAGTCTATACAAGAATTCCCTGGACTTGCTGAATGTGTTGATCAAATAAGCAAAAAGTTTGATGGCTGCTGACAATGTTCGGGTATGTGGTGCACACAGAGTAAGCCAAACACATTCCTATTGTGCTGTATCTACTGTGCAGGAGCAGACCAGCATGCTGAATGCATGATGCTTCTTGGATGAGATGCAATCATCACATATGATCACAAGCCTGCACAGAATCAAGAGATGTGTCCAGGATTGCCAGGTATTTGGAAATCCTGGACAAATATAAAAAATCCCAGAATTAGTCATAGAAAAATGTTCTACTGGAAAAGGAAGATGCTCATAGAAATCCACATGTACAACAGCTTTGACAATGGGAGTCCTGGCCAGCCGAGATCTACGTTTACTAGTAGGTAAGTAGATAAATAGCTTTTAACATCCTAGGGTGGTGAATCACAAAAAAGTCACAACTATCACCCAGTCTGTTCTTGATATTCATATTTAGAGGAGATGGAAATAGGCCTCAGAGTAATTCTTCCATCTTATTTTCATTTGGATTGTTCAGTGCTGCAATTTATTTCTATTAGTAAAAGCCTGCAGAACTCGCTGCCCATACTAGTATCACTGCAGTGCTGCTGGAGGCACAGAACAGAAGAATATCTGGCAGTAGCTGGCTCTCAAGACTCCTAATTTATGTGATTTATCACCTAGCTTGCCAAACAGCCCAATCAATTAAACTCT